CGAGATCCCTGTACTGACGCTAACCTTCTTAAACTGTTAGTTAGTCAGCCTAACAGTTTGCTAATTATCCGCTAATTACCTACTAATTGTCTCGTAACTGACACTAGCACTCCTCTAGCTAGTTGGTCAGCTTAATACTCCGCGAGATCCCTGTACTGACGCTAACCTTCTTAAACCGTTAGTTCGTCAGCCTAACAATTTGCTAATTATCCGCTAATTACCTACTAATTGTCTCTTAACTGACACTAGCACTCCTCTAGCTAGTTGGTCAGCTTAATACTCCCCGAGATCCCTGTACTGACGCTAACCTTCTTAAACCGTTAGTTCGTCAGCCTAACAGTTTGCTAATTATCCGCTAATTACCTACTAATTGTCTCTTAACTGACACTAGCACTCCTCTAGCTAGTTGGTCAGCGTAATACTCCCCGAGATCCCTGTACTGACGCTAACCTTCTTAAACCGTTAGTTCGTCAGCCTAACAGTTTGCTAATTATCCGCTAATTACCTACTAATTGTCTCTTAACTGACACTAGCACTCCTCTAGCTAGTTGGTCAGCTTAATACTCCCTGAGATCCCTGTACTGACGCTAACCTTCTAAAACCGTTAGTTCGTCAGCCTAACAGTTTGCTAATTATCCGCTAATTACCTACTAATTGTCTCTTAACTGACACTAGCACTCCTCTAGCTAGTTGGTCAGCGTAATACTCCCCGAGATCCCTGTACTGACGCTAACCTTCTTAAACCGTTAGTTAGTCAGCCTAACAGTTTGCTAATTATCCGCTAATTACCTACTAATTGTCTCTTAACTGACACTAGCACTTTTCCAGCTAGTTGGTCAGCTTAATACTCCCCGAGATCCCTGTACTGACGCTAACCTTCTTAAACCGTTAGTTAGTCAACATACAGTGTGCTAATAATCTGCTAATTACTTGCTACTTGAATCTTAACTGACGCTAGCACTCCTAAGGCTAATTGGCTTTGATATTAGAACATAGTACAGGTATCATAGAGTACATTGCTGTATATTGCTAACCTCCACTAACAGTCCTGAGCTTATTGACACCAACCTCCCTTTGTTGGTTAGTCAATCGTGTCCTTTCTACTCGACAAACGGCTATTTCAAATTATATCAATTAAAGTATTCGAGCTGAATAGTCAAGAAATTTGTTAATTATCACCGTTCACCAGTGTAAAGTCATTCAATTTTTCCGATCAACGTAATTGATTATGATGTTATGATGAGTGGTTAAACCACCAACACCTGTGGGCTGGCCTCGCATGAGAAATACCACACTCTGAATCAATTACGTATTTTATTTTAAATTGTCCATATCTTTCAGTAATCCTAATTTGACTTGGAAGCTTTAATCCATCTATCCCAGAGAGATTAGAAATTACCGAAAGTATTCAGTAATAAAAGGTTTGCCCTTATCTTTGTTTACACATTCGGCCTAATATTATTACAAGATTATCTGATAACTCCCGATTAACTCTGTCCCCTGGAATTTTCTTAGATAAAGAAACCCCACACTGCTAGACTGTCTATCCGACGCTCAAATCTATTTAAATTCTAACGTACACAAAAATGTGCGTTACACAGTTAGTCTGTTCTGACTCAAAATTCATAGATTTGCAGTACTGACAAATCCAATCTAACGACCCCAATTTAAAAAAAATTGGTATTTTTTAGAAGGGACTTCCAGAGCACATTTAACACCATCACTGCTCTTTACCTACTTAGTTCGATGGTTCACATTCCATACTCAAACTTAAACTCAATTACCACTTTCCTTCGGATCACTTTGCAGGAAAACTAAAACATTTTTGTGTCCTAGTTAGTCTGTTCTGACTCGAAATTCATAGATTTGAAGTAGTGACAAATCCAATCTAACGACCCCAACTCAAAAGAGTTGGTATTTTTTTGTAGGGACTTCCAGAGCACATTTAACACCAACACTGCTCTTTACCTTTTTAGTTTGATGGTTCTCTACATTTTTTTTTCGTTTGGTATGTCTCTTTACGCCCGGTTAATGATTACATTTTCTTTTTCTTTTTATACTTTTCACACCCTGGGGTTAATGATAAAGTTTTATAACGCTATAATGACCCGAGTCAACATTGCCATTAAACATCAAGTCGTCACATACTTCTTCGCCAACTTCCCTGTGTACTTGAAAAAAAATATTCACTGATATATTGTAGTTCCACGTATCCAAGCGTACTCGCCATCTCGAGAAGGTAAAGTTTGGTACCACTGAACGTCTAACACTGATCTTGAGTAAGATTTGTCACCTACTATAAAATGTTTGTACGTTTCCCACTCATTAGCAATTATATGTACAACTTGCAAGCGGATTTCCCCATGGTGGCCGTACAAAATAAATTATATTGATCAAAACAATAAGTTTCCGTTCCCTACTAAGGGTATTATTTCACATTCCATACTCAAACTTAAAATCAATTACCCCTTCAGATCACTTTGCAGGAAAACTAAAACATTTCAAAAATAAGTTAACAAATACACTTTCCTTGATGAAAATCGTGTGTTTACAAATAGAAACTCCAAGTTTAATAATTGCATACTGAAAGTGAGGTTATAAAAATAATAACAAATGTCTGACAAACATTAAACAGCTGACAAATAATTTATAAACTGTGTATTATATTCTTCAATAAGAATTGTATTGACTCAACCTTTAAAGGGCTGTAGGTCGTAGCCCTTAGAAAAAACGTAAATTCTAAGGAAGTTCGGCAAATCTACACACTATCCCCTTTAATTTGAGACATCTTGTAGATCGGTCCAGTAATTACTGAGAAAACAGTGTTACAACTGTGTATTAAATATATAGATTCCAATAAATGTACCAATCAAAAACTTTTAACTTTCTAGTTACAGTACATAAAATAACATTTTCAAACAATAAAACAAATAAAAAACTCAAAGCTTTAACTTGCTTTTAATTTTTAAATGATAAAATCAAACATAGACAAACATTAATTTATAACATGTGGTTAATATTATGGTTTGAATGAAATTAAACACGTGATCTTGCTTCTAAAAAGCATTGCTCACTTAGCATTGATTATAAAAATATCTCACTATATACTATGTGAACAAACAAAAACATTAACACTCTTACTACTAAAACAAACATACTTAGCCCTAAACATTGGTGTAAAAAACATGTGTACTTACCATCAACGTCAAAAAGCGTCAAACATCAGTGGAAAAACATTGATGTATCGTAAACATCGGCTATTAATGCTCATTGATTCCTAGGACATAGATTTCCAACAAGATTTCTAGGACAAAGAATAAAAGTGTCTAACATTAATTTAACACAAGAGGTTCTACCCACGAATTCATGGGTAAACAGAAGCCTAAATTAATTTAATCAACTTTGACCTTCCCTATTTCATTTAAAGGGCCCAAGTTCGAGAAATTGTCATCTGAAAGGATGTTAAAGGCAGTGGAACCTTCATACCTTACGTCTAAGGTGGCCGAGGTGGGTACGGTTGTATCTGAACTTGCCGCTCTCTTTCACGACGTCTTTAATACTTTACTTAAATACTTTTCAATGAATTGGCGACCTGTTAAAAATCGGTGATAACCTCTTGGAACGAACAACATACATGGTTTGTTAATGTCATATTCATCGTGTTTCGAACACCTTTAATCACTCACTTGAATCAAACAGCTAGAAATAGCTTCACTGTCCATTCACCGTACCTCTTTTAAGAACATAAAAGTAAATAAAAAAATAAGTAAACAAAAATGTAAACAAACAAACTATATTGTCAATTGCATTGGCCAGCTGTTGTTCACTAAATTAATCGAACGAGAGGTCGTCCAGTGGTCGAAACTCGACCAAAAATATGTAATGTACTCACTTATCTATTTTCACCCCACACTGTAAATAAAACATGTGATTGGAGTTTCTTCCATTTGTTTTGATTTTCTGTTTATATTTCGTTGTTATTTCGTAACCAGCATAGCAACGCATAAGATCCATGTTAATTTTTTCAAATTTTTAAACTCATTTTTTGTGCTTATCTTTGAGCCTATTTAAATTTATAAAGGGATTCTGCACACCTACAGGAAAATAGCTTTCCAACGGTATGCGTAGATTTTCCCTACGATGCACACGAGCTGAGAAAAAAGGTTTTAAAGAAACATGCTTGCCTATTAATATATAGATAGATAGATAATGTTAACTTCCAAAACATGCAAGGCGTAGCCCTTTGGAAATCAGCCTGTGGGGCAGAGCCCTTAGGGAATTCGTCCATATCAATACTTTTCAGCAAATCTACACACTCTAAGCTTCATTTTGATATGCCATATGCCTATATTTTTATATGGTAAATGGCCTTAAGCGTTTACATAAAATTTTATTGTATCACTTTAATAATATAATAGATTAACATTACCATTTCATAGTAAGGGCGAAACGTCTGCCAATAGTTTAGTAGGGACGATGCGGTTGACGTCGAAAAACACCATGAACTCTTATGACATCGGCCGCGAAGGCCTATGTAAGAACATTATGGAAAGTATACTGTTTGATTTATATATTTGCGTGCAAGTCTAAGCTTAAGTATCATCTTGTGCAATAGGAATTCTAAACCTTGTTTATTTTTTACATTGGTGTGCGTGATTATTTTCTAGATAAAGCTATGTGTCAATAGTTCATATGAAAATAGCCTACTACAAATAATGTGCAATTTGAAAATACATCATCCCTAGAAACAATGTTGTTAGGGTGCCAAATGACAATGTTTCAGGGAGTGCACTCCGAATCTGTGTTTCCTCTTCCTTTTATAGATATTTAACAAATAGCAACAGTTCCTCTCTCATTAAAAACAAAAAATGTCATCCCAACAGTTAGAAGTCGCTCTAGTGCTATCACCTCTTGCGACCAAGTTGCGGCGACTGAGTTGCCTAGTTGTGACCGTAGCCTAAGGGTTGAGATAGTCTTAAACAGATTTAATTCATTTTCAGAACTACCCAATCTTCTCCTACCAGTCCAAGTAGAGTTTTTGCGCAGATGGAATGGTGAACTCAGATTTCTACAGCAGTTCAAGCTAAGAAGATTTTCCAGAGAGTTCCTGAAAAGAGGTTGTTTAAAGAGCAGACCAGCTAGTCCTGTAGAATCTAATGAGAATGGTCAAGACATCAATAAAATAGACACCAGAATAACGAATGAGTTAAGTAAAAACAACATGGAAATCGATGAAAACAAATAAAAATATTTTGATACTAAACGCTTACTTATTCTGCTCCTGAATCCATCTATACGAGTTGAATATCTATATGAGTTGCTACCTATTTACGTGAGTTGAGTCTTTTCTCCCAATCCTTGAACCCCATTGGTACGTTACCCGTGTTAAGAGAATCTTTTCAATTCTAAGAACTGATATGAAACGGCTAGTTTACAAAACTGTCGTAGGTAAATAGTATTAACATGGGTATGAATGTCACTGTATTGATTTTTTATGGTTCTTTACTTTTTAATCATTTCAAATTTTACCTTCTTTGAAAAAAATGGTAAATTGTACAGAGATATTAAAATCGGACTTTAAATAGGTATTTTATTTTTTTATTGACAGTAAATCATCATACTAAATAATAATACTGTAATGATTATATCAGTTAATACAACAATTTCAATCTGCAAAATATTAAGTCATTCTAACAATAATCATTAATCCAAGTACAATATAAATTAGAATACCTTAAATTAAGCAAAACTTAGATATAATGTTTAATTTCATAGAAATTAGCCGATTCTCAAGCTCAGAATATGATCACTTAAATTTAAAGCCAGGTTTTCCTAGATGCGGAAGAGGAGAGCGGAGGGCGGAGTGCAGAAAAGCGATTAACAAGGCATGCCGCTTCACTTCTAGGAAAACAGTAACATTAAATTACCTAAGACAAGAGGAGTCTGCGCTCCGTTTCCTCGCCTAGGAAAACCCAGCTTAACATAAAGTGTTTGTTTTAAATTAACTTAAAAACGAAAAAATTGTCTGCTGCTGGTCTACTAATTTTTGTTTGAATACAAAACCATAATAAACTTCAAATTAATGATTTAACTGATATTAGTTCAGAATCAGATAAAAAAAACAATTACTAATAAGTTCTCTGGTCCATCTATACACTTGAAGATGCCAAAATGAACGATTCAATAAATCACCATCAAGCATAGATTAAGATTACCAATCAAAATACCCTCAGGGCTTGAAATTGCCACCAAATGTGTTTGAGGATTGAAGTAGTTTTTCTGATAACTCCCGCCCAAGGTTTACAGCCATTTTTAAACCTTACGCTTGCGCTTATAAATGGCAACACTGTCACTCTCATCTAGCCGTATGTACAGAATGTCCTGTAATTTAACAGTCAAACTCCGGGAAATGATTCTACGAGTGAAAAAAATCGTAAATGACAAATCACTTTAATGATTTATTTAAAGACAAAATTTACTTGGTCCAATTCAAAATGGTGGCAATTTTAATTTTTATAATTAAATTACTCTGGCTGATTTTATGAAAAAATGGTATGAATACTTTGATTTAGCATTTAAAATTAGGTACCTAAGAAACAACCTAAGGTAAAAAAGATCAAAATACTATAAGTATAATTGAAATATCCTAATTTTTGTTTTAAAATGAGGTAATCAAGTCAAGCTATTCTTTATTCAATATTAGCGAATTTCCCTATAGGGAAGTAGCTATTACCGTAGGTCTCATGGTAAGACCTAGGCCCGGGACCGATTTACTTTTTCATTTTGATGTCCCCAGAGGCCGAAAACACCATTCGTTCAAATTTTTATATATCTATATTTAGATATATATATATACTAGCTGTACCCGCGGGCTTTGCCCCGTTTTACTTCATAAGTGAGCTCGTTCGCATGGCTCAATCACATCCTGGTTGAAGTTCGTTCGCTACGCTCACTCACCTTTAGGTTGGAGCTCGTTCGCTGCGCTCACTTGCCTTCAGGTTAGCTCGTTCGCTACGCTAACTCGCCTCCAGGTTGAAGTTCGTTAATTACGCTCACTCACCTTTAGGTTGCAAATTAGCTGTTGTCATAAATTTAAAAAAATAATAGTGCTGCACCCTGTTGGCAATCCTTGTAACTTTAATGCTATTGCACATCATAGAACAGAACCAACTTGTTTAATTGAAACAGCTGTTAAGATTCATTAATTCCATTTTAAGTACTCATAAGGTTAACATGGGAAACTCCAGAGCCACTGGGGTGGAGCCCGAGAGTCCGATCAGAATAAAAACAACTTAGTTTTCCTATTTAATGCCTAAAGAATCAGTGTACCAAATTTCAGCCTCCTAGGTAAATGGGAAGTGGGAGAATTAGTGATGAGTGAGTGAGTGAGTGAGTCAGTCAGTGAGGGCTTTGCCTTTTATATATACAGGGTGTTTTTTTAAAAACTTGCATCTTTATTTATGTAAAAACCGCAATAGATAGAAATATGCAATTTGCGGGAATCATCTATTGACGTAGGGGGACCAATTGTTTTGAATTCAACGTTACATTCACATTCCCCCCCTTTCCCCCCTGCCACCAACTTATTTTTTTTAAATAGCAAGGTACCCCTTGTGACATATCAAATAAAAGAGCATAAAAAAAGAAAATGTTTGATGAAAAAAAATTGAAAATCGGTTCATAAATTTGTGAGATATTCCCCCCCTCACCCCCCCGGAACTTAATTTTTTTTAATAGCAAAGTACCCCTTGTGACATATCAAATGAAAGAGCATGAAAAAAGAAAATTTTTGGTGAAAAAAATTTAAAATTGGCTCATGAATTTGTGAGATAATCACCCCCCTTTTCCCCTACCCATAACTTGTTTTTTAATAGCAAGGTACCCGCCCTTGTGACATATCAAATGAAAAATAAATTTTGCCAAAATTTTTCTTTTTTCATGCTCTTTCATTTGATATGTCAAGGGGTACTTTGCTATTAAAAAAAAATTAAGTTCCGGGGGGGGGGGGTGAGGGGGGAAATATCTCACAAATTTATGAACCGATTTTCAATTTTTTTTCATCAAAAATTTTCTTTTTTCATGCTATTTTATTTGATATGTCACAAGGGGTACCTTGCTATTTGAAAAAATTAAGTTGGTGGCAGGGGGGGAAAGGGGGGGAATGTGAATGTAACGTTGAATTCAAAACAATTGGTCCCCCTACGTCAATAGATGATTCCCGCAAACTGCATATTTCTATCTATTACGGTTTTTACATAAATAAAGATGCAAGTTTTTAAAAAAACACCCTGTATATATATGTGTCCATCCGCACGATAACTTGAGTAATTTTTGTTCGATTTTGATAAAATTTGGTTTGAAGGTGTAAGGCGGGATGAACTTGAATGAGTTTGCGAACCAGCATGATCGGACTATGGGAACGGGGGTTTATGGGGGGTTTTATGGGGTAAAAATAGGTTTTTCCCATTTTTGACCCTAAAAACACAAAATTTAACAATTTTTTTTTAAACCATTTTGTGTATCATTCCCTCTTCCACAGCCACATAATGTATGGACTGGTATTGTGGGGACACGCTCCTGCAGCCCATGATGTACTGCTGCTCCAAAAAAAGGCACTCAGAAGTCAGAATTATAACATCCTCGGAATACACTGAGCATTGCCATTGCCGGCCTATTTCCAAAGATCAGCAGATACTTCCCATCTACAGTCAATACGTTTATGACATACTTATCCTCCTAAAAGAACGCGAAGGAGAATATTCTAAAAGGGAATATCAGCACAGCTACAACACAAGAAGAGCACAAGACCTGGATATGCCACGCTGTCGCTTGAGTCGCACCCTAAAAAGTTATCCCCGCTCTGCAATACAGTAAAGGTTTTCAATACCCTGCCAGTTCGAGTGCGTAAATTGGAACTACCGAAATTTAAAAAGGTTGTTCATGGAGCCCTAGTGGATAGGCCATTGTATTCATTGGGAGAACTCATTGAGGAGCCTCTTTTTAGATCCTAGCTAAAATATCCGCCATGCCACAGTAAAATGTAAATATTGTATATATTGTAAATAGTGTAAATATATGTTTCTTATTGACAAACTCAAATGAGTTGACGCAATCTATCCGACATTGTCGGTCAAGGATGAAGACCTCAAGTATTTAAGTTGTGTACGAGTTATTGTTTATGATTAGAGGGGTTTATTTCGTTAAACGAGGTTTTAAGTTACTGAAATAACAAGAAACAAATTGTAAACAAAACATACATCTGCAGAAAACCGGACAGAACTAACAATAAAATTGGCTTCAGCTGTTCCATAAAGATGGGAAATCTACTAAGGGAAGGGACTATATTTTATCATAGATATGTTTTATCTATGGTTTTATCTATGATATTATTGGATCGTTTGTGTACCATTCACCACTAATATTAAGTTAATATCTGTTTGCTAATAGCATTGACTATTGGATACTATCATAGACTAAGCAACACAAGGGAGTATGATTTATCTATGATACTATAGTCAAAGCTAATAGATCACTGTTTCTTTAGTAAATTGTTAATTTTATACTTTATACATTTTTTGGCCGTAATCACTGATAATCAATGATTATTATCTCACTTGTGATAGTATAGTCTGTCGTCTGATCATGTCAAAATAAATAAGAATAACAACAACAAGTTTTAGGTTAGGTAGTACAGTACTTGTCTTGTCGTCTGGTCCTATAATCAAAATCAAAATAGAAAAACATTCTTGATCTAGGGGATGTTGTTGAAGTTATACCTAACCCAAAAGAGGCTATAATAATACTATTGGTTTGTAATTTGTGTACATTTCGTTGTTATAGCTTGAGTTTGAACCTAACTTCACTAAAGCGGAGAGCCTAGTCTACACCGATAATGATATTGTAGTAGGTAAGTAGGCATTTGAAAATCATTTTTATATTAACTTCCATGCTAAGTAACCTATTACTAGGCCTAGTTGTTTTAATTGATTTTAGATAAAGATAAGTAAAGAGTATAGTGTTTTATTGCTGTATTTTGTATACTGAAGCCGAAATCCACATAGGTTTCACTTACATTTTTGGAAACAGCCAAACCAACTCAAATCTAACTTAGGCTAAGTTTACAATGGAGACATAACTTAATGCACAATTTCGTTGCTCCAATGGGAAGCAGATAGCGTTGCCAACTCAACTGTAGTCATTTTAGCCGACAAATTTGGCCATAAGTCAATTCTAGTAATTACCTGGAACCGAGTCTTGATTGGGATATCCAAAAAATGCCCGGAATTCTAACTTATAAAATTTTGAACAACTTATTGGTAAAAGCAACGTTGGGATGAGTGTTATTAATACTTAGCTTATTATAAACAAAACAAAGCTGGAAGCTTAGTTGTAATAACTTAGTGTCCTGATGACAAGGTAGTGGAGAGGGGGAGCTATGAAGAGAGCAAACAGTAACCTACCTATCAATTCTAACAATTCAACATGTACGGTCAACACTAAACATTATGCTGGAGATTTTAGTTAAAGTGTGTCTTTAGACAAATGCAAAGAAACTAAAATGGATCATATAACATCCTGAAGCAGTAGGCCTGCCTATAACCATAGACAAATAGAATAAATATAGACCGTCAGCTGTGCTGCAGTCAGCATAAGTTCTGGCGTCCACCGCTAGGTTTGCTGTCTAGTTACGGCGCACACCGCTGCAGCGTCTGCTGGTCGCAAACGGCTCCTGCGCTCCTCGCCTGCAGCAGTGTGCGCCGTAACTACACGGCACTACTAGCGGTGGGCGCCGGAACCTTCCTTTGACAGTCTATATTTATTCTATTTTTCTATGCTATAACTCACAATTCAGGTTAGGTTGGTAAGGTAGGCCTTTATGTCAGTTGAACAACTTGTTTTTAATACTTAGTTAAATGTTAGGTTAAAATCAATTTCCTCCTGAATTTTTTATTGTAATACTGGTTGTCATTATTTTAATCACTGTCAAACATTCGGTCATCTCCCTCCCTCTGAGTAGGGAAGGTGTTGTACTTTGGACCTATACTCATTTTATCACTATCTGTTAAGTAAAGGGAGAACTTGTACCATTAGTTAATGCTTTTGCTACCAGAGGTCTATCCTGATGTGTTAAAGTTGGAATTGTATGTGTCCTATTGACAGGAAAACTGTAACAAGTTTTTATAAGGTAAAAGTAAGTGTATGCAACTTTTAATTTTCTTTTATTATGTTAGATTTAATGATTGTTTCTCAGCTTGCAATTTGGTGCTATAAACCAACAACTCAGCTACAGTTTCATATGATTCACACCATGTTAATCCTTACCTAGAATAGTCTAGAACCAAGTTTTTACAAAATGGCCAGGTGTTGTACCTTGGACCTAGTTCATAGGTTGTACCATGGACAACCACACCATCCATAGCACACAGCTATAAGCTTTGGTAGCTTAGGCTACTAAAAGCAGACTTAAATAATTTTGTTAAAAAGGTTTAGGCTACTATAGGCATTTGTAATTTAATTTGCTATAAACGAACAGGACAGCCCCCAAGACAGTAAGACGAATATTTGACGTCTCAGGCCTTAACTAGGCTATAAGTAAACTTAAGTGAATTTCTTACATAATATGGTTAAAATATGTATTGTAAGGGTAAGTTTTTTTTTATATTTTATCAAATAAAAACTAATTATTAATTTTATAACATTTTAATGTGTTTCTACATTTATTTCCTCTACTTTAAAATCAGTGGTCCAAGGTACAACATATGTAGGTCCGAGGTACAACGTAGGTATTGTACCTTGGTCCTAATGTTAATAATTGTTTAATAATTGAAAATATTTGTTTTGGGTTTTAAAAAATAAAGGGTTAAATAAAATATATGTATTGTGCCAAAGAATAATGATTACTTTTCCCTAACATTTATTGTGTTTTAAAGTGTCATATCAAAATAAGAAAATAAAAAGGTAAAATAGGCCCATGGTACAACACCTTCCCCTATCAGTCTCTGTCACAGCTTAGTGACTGTTAGCCAGGCTTAGCATAGGTCTGTAAAATTTAATTTTTTTCCTTTTAGTTTTCCAAAACAAAAGGAAATTTGGCACTTTTTTTACTAAAATGTTGACTAACTTATATTTTATGTTTAGTTTTAGAGCAGCCAATGAAAGATCAGAATGATGACAACACACAAGTCTGGTGGTCAGTCTGGTCGCAAGAAAGTCCAGGTAAAATCTCATTTCTGTCTCATCAGTCTCAATCCCGTTTTCACATCCTGACGGATGGATTCTACATGTTTGTAGATGATGCTGATCGGAAGAGGGAGCGCTTTTGATTTACAAAATCTTAAAGTATAAAATAGTGTCAAATTACATTAAATTAAATATTAGTTAAAGTTTTCTCCTGGATTTCTACAAAGCATGTCAATGTAGCCTAGGTATTCTACACACTGTAGAAATGGTGTGGCTGAACCATTAGTAGAGAGTGTTTTCTTAATCTTCTCAGGACTGGTAATTCCCGCCAACTCTCTGGCGGGAACCATCTTAATTCTAGTTCGTTCAATGATGGCCCTCTGCATAAGCGCTGTGACCTCAGATAATGGATATAAATAAAGAGTTTGTTACTTTATGTTAATTGTTTAGTTACCGGTATTTAAGAAAAGGGCAAGAAATTTAAATTAATTATTTATTTTGATTTTACAAATTTTTGCTTTCTAGGTCATCTGGTTTGCACTTGTGGAATGGAAAGGGTTAAGCCTAAAGCATTTTTTTCGACCCATTTGACCCATTCAACATTTTTTTTCATTTCTCTCCCTAAAGTTATTTTAGCGAATTTCCCATTTAGGGAAAAGCTATTACCGTAGGTCACAGAGCAAATAAAAAAACTTAAATTCCTGTTATTTTTAATGAGAATAAATCAACTGTATTTTGCTTGTTTATGGATAAATTTTAATAAAATTTGGCAATTTATTTGTTTTTTCTCATACTTTGCTATCAACATTTGAATAGAAAAACACCTGGTTTGGCCTACCTTCCCTAGGTATCAAATCTAAGTAGGCCTACTCATTAAAATTAATGTTATTTAAATATGAAATACTTAAATACTATAATACTAATAAATCTAATAATATAAAGGAAACATTTTAGTGGAAATCTAGGTAATTGGAAATTTGTTTAGTCTGCAGGTTTGCTGCGGCAGAGGTATTAAAGGTTATGCCGTTTTTTATGACTTGCATTTGTAGTTCAATATGATATGTCTTTTATTTTATTTATTTATCTACACGGATTTACAATTTTTACATAATTTTGTAACAGAGATATTACAATAGGCCCTACTTATTTGTTAAATATTCAAAGGACAAAAACAAACTTACACATAACAACAAGATCATGGAATGACAAACAAGATTAGGCTACAACAAAACCTGGAACAATTGAGTTGAACCATATGATTTTCAAATTTATCTTGGAAGTACTAAAATTTATCTTGAACGTACTAAAATTTATTTTGGACATGCTAAAATTCATCTTGGACGTACTAAAATTCATTATGGACTTAAGAAAAATTAAATTACATTATACAATTATGTGCATTAAAGGTTTGTGATATTTAACAGTATAACAATATATCCATATTTTAACAAAATAAAACCAAAACAGAAAAATGTGTGTCCTCCTCCATGCTAATTTAAAAAGAAGAAAAACAGGTCTTTTGCAATACTTTGGCTCAGGCTTAAAGTATCAATCATTGAAATTATAAATTATTGTAAAGCGGCAATCTCTTCTGATGCATTGTTTACTCATTGACCGCAGGTATCTTTTGTTATTCGGGATGAAGTAGAAAAACAACACCGTGCAGGAGTGAACTCGCTCCAGTATGATCCGACATTGCAGAGGCTATACTCAGCGGGTCGAGACAGCATCATCCGCACGTGGAACTGCAAACAACCCAAGGATCCGTACATCCAGTCCATGGAGCATCACACGGACTGGGTCAACGACATCGTTCTATGTTGCGGCGGGAAAAACTGTACGTTTTACAGAGTTCTAGCATGTATAAAACTAATCGCTAAAAAAAAAGTATAAAAGTATAAAATGTATAAGATGTATAAGATGTATGTATAAAATGTATAAAAGTATCGCTGAAGCCAGGTAATATGACCCTTATTAGTGCTTATGGAACAGCTGTAGCCAAATTTATTGTTAGTTTTGTCTGGTGCACTGTAGGTTGGGTTTGTTTACAATTTGTTTCTTTTGTTATAACATTCATTTAAACCCTCGTTTAACCAAATAAAAGTACAACCAAACATAACACGCCATTGTTGGGATTGACGCCATTCTATGTACGCATGTATAAAAAAATTAATAAAGATATTTTAATCTTGAATTCATCTTGAATCATAGTAAAGCTTCAATCATGAAGTTAACCCGTAAATAACAAAAAAATAAGCTAGATTGTGCATGCTCATTACTGTAAAGATTTGATTACAGTATGTCTTTGTTACAAATATGAGGATTTTTTAGGTCATAAATTGTTAGTAACCAATTTCTAAATTTTTATCTCTTCCTTTCGATTATGAGTTGGATTTATATTGTTACTAGCTGGCCCGACAGACGTCGTCCCGTCCTAATGTGGTTTTATGCCAAATGCTCGTTCATTTTCAAGATGAGCTTGTTCGCAAGGCTCAATCACGTCCATTTAATACTTTTACAGTGATATCAGCTAGTTCAGACACAACTGTGAAAGTGTGGAACGCTCACAAGGGCTTCTGCATGTCAACGTTACGTACACACAAGGACTACGTGCGAGCGCTGGCGTACGCTCGGGACAGGGAACAAGTTGCGTCTGCTGGCCTCGACCGTGCAATCTTCCTCTGGGACGTTAACACTCTTACGGCACTCACTGCCAGCAATAACACTGTTACTAGTAAGTTGGTCACTTTTATATTCAAATGCATTGTTTCCAGATTTGTACTTTACTTACTCTATGATTGATAACATTATACAATTACTCACCTAGTATTATTGATTAGAAACTCAAAGGTTGTTTGGTTGATGATGTAAAATTTCATTTTTCAAAAATGTCGTTAGTGTACTTCTATTATCTACAGGAAAATCCTGAAAAGTTACTTATCATACAGACCAATTTTCACAAGCTGGGGCGATTAGGTTAGGTTGTGGCAATTAGATTAATGTATCTAAAATACTAAAATGCTGTGGAAAGAGATGAAAACAGGTCCACAACGTAGGGAGTGGTGAAGGAAGTAGTAAGGCGAGCAGTGTGGAGTTTGGGTATGGATTAATGTATCTGCAACACTAAGACTGCTTTTAGAGTAAACAAATGATTTTCCCCGAGCAAAGCTCGGTCCCCAGGTACTGATAGTAATGTAACTAGAACTTCTGACATTGCACACATTAAGTAACATCACAAAAAAAAACTCTAAAAATTGATAATCCTTTGAAACACGTTGATAAACATTTCTTCTATGTGATACTTCCATGTTTTGGAAATTTTTGCATTAAACTGTAGTAAATGTAAACATTTTTGCTTAATTTTCAGCATCTTCTTTGAATGGAAGTAAAAACTCCATTTACAGCCTAGCAATGAACCCTCCTGGTACTGTGATTATCAGTGGAAGTACAGAGAAAGTTTTGAGGGTTTGGGACCCACGGTCTTGCAACAAACTCATGAAACTCATCGGTAAGTAATCATTTAAATCAGTTATCAATCATAACAGGCACTATCAAAAACCTTTTTAGGTCTTTTACTTACACCTATTACTTTTGATCAATTTATAAATTAAATGCTCAAGCTAATGGCATCAGCAAGGTATTATAAATATAATATATATGAAATTTGTTTACAAAGTACAAGTTTAAACAAACTTTATACATTTGTATTTACAATGCAAGTTGTTGATTTTCAGGACACGCAGACAACGTGAAGGCCCTGGTAGTGAACAGAGACGGAACTCAGTGTTTGTCAGGCAGTTCAGACGGAACTATCAAGCTGTGGTCGCTCGGCCAGCAGCAGTGTGTTCACACCTTCAGAATACATTCCGAGGGCGTCTGGGCTTTGCTGGTAAGGACGATCAAGATTTGTAGAATATGTTGTTGTGCTGTTAAATTAACAGTTTATGTTATTTTGATTTATGGGTCAATAAGAAACCCAACCTAACTGTTTCTCACGTCTATGAACTAGTTTGGGTAGGGCTTGAGTTCAACGAGCTCACTCAAGAAAATTTATTTATTTTTAATTTAATTTATTTATTATTTTTATTTATTATTATTTTTAATTAATTAATTTATTAGAGTTCATGGGCTAAGATACTCAGATAAATGATCACAACACACAACAGGGACTTGTTCAGAGAAGAGATTGAAGAGAAAAATGTAGTATTTTTTGTCAATTTACTTGTTTAAGAACTTATGTACCTAGGGTAATTGTGGTCTTTTAATTGTGTGTATATATATATATATAAGCTCTTGGGCTCAATTTTTCAGCTAATGCTGTCCCTTTTCAAAATAATTCCTAACCAGCCGCTTGGGTTTCCTTTAAATTATAACCATCCATTTGAGCATTTAACTAAATAAAACAGCTGCAAGTCGTACAGTTCCTGGCTTGTACTGCTACTTTGGATCTTATAACTAGTATAATGCTAGTATGCCAAGGATTTTGGGAGACCATTGTAGTTAGTCGATCGTTAAGTTTGATCAATGACTGAATAGTCCAAGGCATTTTCTCCCTAGCCAGGAGAGGGGTAATATCCTGTCTCAGTAAAGTGAGATTTACAACTAATAAGCCATCTGTCTGTGATATAGTTTAGTAGAGTGTTAGGTATGACAGGATTGTTGAACTATTTGTGAATTGCACCTAAATTGGGAATTTTTGTTTAAATCGATCTATGAATAATCTCTGAAACCCAAAAGTGAACATAGGGTTTACTGACAGCCTCTAAGTGTTACCAAACTTAACACTATGGAGAAGGGTGATGATTTTGATTCAAGATTCAACCATTCAATGATTATACTTCATGATAAATATTTGTAATTATACTTTATACTCTTTATTCTAACTACCTACTTTTGTGCATTTACTTTTCAATGATCAGTATTTTAGTATGCTAGGTATTCTTTTCTACACTAGAAAAAAATTTCAGTGTGTAGTGAAATTTGTGGACCAATAAGTCCCAGTACTCTGATGTTCTCATTTAAGCTAAGGTAGGCCTCCTCAATTCTCCCTCTTTCTACAAACATAAAAAAACTCATAAAACTGTATGGACTTTTCCCCCCTAACCATGTATGAATTATTTATCAGGCAACGGAAAACTTCACCCATGTGATATCTGGAGGCAGGGATCGGAAGGTACTCATGACAGACTTACGGAACCTGAACAAACAGTCAATCTGCATCTGTGAAGAGAGCGCTCCGATCCTCAAGATGGCTGCCCCACCTGACTTTAGTGGGGTTTGGGTAGCTACGTCAGAATCTACCATCAACTACTGGGTAACTTTTAAAAAGAAGTATTCTTTTGTAGGTTTAAAATACAAGTGAAAGCAATTTTTTTTTATGATTCGTGAAAGTATTAAATAAAGCTGAAGATCTGGTGTTCATTTTCTTTGATTTTATTGTTAGTAGGCCATTATTTAATCTGTAAACATATTTCTTGATACTTAACAAAGAAATTGCTAATTTGCTAAAATCAGAGTATACTGCCTAGTGATAAGAGTACCGGTAAGTAAACTGATTCAATATTGAACTATTTTTATATTTAAATATATTTTATACTAGTAGAGTACCCGTCCTTCGTACAGGGTTGGCGTATAAGTATGAAATGCATTTGCAGTTATACTCGTGCTTTGCGTTTGCAATGGGAGAGGACACGTTTTAAGAAAGAAAATAATAAAAGCCCTGCTCGATTTCCTGACTTGATACTCAATCATTCAAACTCTTAGGTTAGACTCGGTACAGCTGAAAAACTAGCCACTTCTAATCTTGAATTAACCCTACAATTCAACAGTGACCTAAAAACAGCTATATATAGTAAAAATCAGTTATTAGATTGGATTATTGGACTAGTATACATCCAGATTATTGAAATTTACTGTGTAGAACCCGGATAGCAAGTTTCTCATGGGGATTATCAAAATACTTGTAATCAAGCTTGACTTCTTATAGCGGTTTGCAATAACATGTGATTAGAGGTGATATAAAACCAAGGGTATTTGAAAATGAGACGTCTTGTTGTGATTTGCAGGCGGTACCTAAGAGGGACTGGATCTCTGATGGTGGGGTGGGCTCGGGGGACGAGAGTGATTGCATGAACGGAGTCACACCCATCAACGCAAAGCCAGATATGACCATCAAAGGAGGTCCAGCGATACGCAGGTTCCACATCTTGAATGACAAGAGGCACATACTGACACAGGATACAGAAAACAACGTGGCCATCTTTGATGTTTTAAAGGTAAATTTAATTTTCTATCATAAAATAAATATATCAATATCAATTAATAAAATCTAGTACCGGTAGGTGTTAAGTATTTGTTTAACTAAGCAAAATGATGCAGTAAAATATAACCCAGAGTTACATAACAGAATAATAGTAGTACTAAGTAACTAGTTATGAATTATTTGATAGATTTTGTAAATAAACATAATACAAACTATTAACTTATTTCATAGATGGAACAGCAAGTAACAAATTTGTATTGAGAGTATAACTGGTCTGTTTATCACATAATCTTTCAAAAATCATAATCTTAACAAACCTCAACAAATTTTTTGTATTTCTTTTTTAGGCAGATCATAGTCGACTATGGTCAGGTATCAAGAAAATATTATCCCATTATGATGGGGTTTTTTGTTTTAAGTTTTAATTTGTGAGAGCGATAAACCAAAACAAGGCGACCTCTGATTTGATTATGAATACCGTAGTGGGCAAAACTATCCCAAAAACAATATCATGAGATTTTTTCAATGAGGAGTAGATTATCCTTAAGTAAGGCTTTGAAATTACAAATATAAATAGTTGGATAAGACTCTAAATGTTACCAATAATTTATTAATACATAAAGCTTTTTCTGTTCATAATGAACATTTTTTGGTATTAATGAAATTGTTTAATCTTATATTATAAGTAATTTTAAAAAAATGTTTTTTATTTACAGGCTTGCAAGGTTGAAGATTTGGGACAAGTAAATTTTGATGAAGAGGTTAAAGCAAGATTCAAAATGGTGTACGTTCCAAACTGGTTTAATGTAGACCTCAAAACTGGGGTAAGTTTTACTACTTTTTTAATGTACTGTAATGTGAATGTTGTATTCTAGTGATACCTACCAGATTTAGCTTAAGTTCAACGTCTCTAGTTTAAGGAGTTCTTAAACAGTTTGATCATTGAGAATACATTTTACCAAAAGCAACGCACAACTCATAAAATTGCATTTTATTTTGGATGATTATTTTTTTAATTTATCACAAATTTAATTTTGTAATGGTAAAGGTCTGGATAATATTTTATTTTTAATTGAGAAATACATTCATTGCAAGTGACTGAAATGAGAATGTTCAACAAAGAGACTTCATTAGTAAAATCATACATTTATAGTTCATTTGGCGGTACTCTAAATGATAATAAATTTATAGTCCATCTCAACAAGGGTTAATTCTAACAGTAATCTATACCCAGTCTTTTTAGTTATTACTTTTGGTTAGCCTTTTAACCATAACTTATTTTCTTGTGCCAGCACATATTTTTTTTTCTAAGACTAATTGTTTGAATCAGATGCTTACAATTCATTTGGGACAAGATGAAAACGACTGCTTCTCTGCCTGGGTCTCGTCAAAAGAAGCTGGTCTTGCTCCTAATGAAATGGTTGACCAAAAAGGTAAGTCAATGCAATTTTATGTTTGATACTTTAATATTCCTATAAAATTTCAAGCTGTTTGGTATAATTTTAGATTTTAATCTAATATACTTTATACAATAAGGGTTTTTCTCTTAAACATCCTTTTTTTATCCGTAGCTAAATTGTTTTTTTTTACTCGCCCTACTATATTGCAAGATGTTGGGGAGCGAGCTGGTCTAGTGGTTAGAGCGCAGGGCTTCAGTGCCTGGGGTCCTGGGTTCAAATCCCGCCAACTCACCAATGGATTTTATCATCAACCAATTGATAATGCCTAGCGTCCTAGGACAAAAAAAACAAAAAACTAATAATGCACGATGCGCACGGGCCCCCTCCTCTTTGTAATTGTTATTTCTATAAAAAGTACATGACTGTGTTGACTAATGTACATAAGATAATTTCTGCATTTCAGTCAACTATGGAAACCTATTATTGAAAGCCTTGTTGGAGAATTGGTGGACAACAGTGCATGTTGATGAAGAGACTGAGATATCAGGCGATGCCCACAACATGCCTCAGCAGTCCAAGTTTGGAAACGAGTACTTCAAAGTTCCTGGCCACACGCCATTGATTTTTAGGTGACTATTCCATTGTGTATAGGCTAATAGGATACCGTTCAACAAAACACATTTAGGCCCCGGGTACGATACGAGCGGCGAGCGGCGAGCGGTGAGCGGCGAGCGGCATGAGCGCCGCCGCTCTGACATCGGGCCTCATTTAGTTGCGTGTAAATTTGTTGAGGGTGGCCACGATACGTCTGAGCGGCGAGCGGCGGTGAGCGGCGCCGCTCAGCGCCGCTCATGGATCCAAGTCAAAACCGATTTTCGCGAAAACGCCGCTCGCCGCTCTGGATGAGCCATGCTTCAGTTCAGACTAAAATGTCAGAGGAACAGCAGCAAACGTGCGGGCCTCCACCAAAAGTGAAGAAGACGGAGTTGAAGTTGAGTGATTCGCAAATAGAAGTATTGATCAGTGAGGTGCAATCTAGGGAGTGTCTTTGGAATGACCAGCACGAAGATTTCAAGAACACTACAGTAACCAGAAAACTATGGGACGAAGTGGGAGCAGGCCTTGATATATCAGGTAAGCCTTTAATTTATAACCTAAGATTTAAATACACATTAAAACATATTTGTTTAAATGTGTTTAAACAAAGTTTACACTGTCTATAATCATAGTTTAAATAACTATTGGCGACTAAAGTGAACATAAACTCCAGTTTAACGACGAAGGCGAAGCCAGAATATCAGCAAGTGTTTTTTTTTTTTTATGAATTAACCTATAGGGAAGTAGCTACCGTAGGTCTCAAGGTAAGACCTAGGCCTAGACTTTTTTTCATTTTTTACCCTTAAAAAACAACATTTATAAACTTTTTTCCAGACCTTAAATAAACCAGAGCTGAAATAAACAGAGCTTAAATAAACAGATAATTTAGTTTATCAAAGTGTTTTTGTACGGTGATTGGTTACGGAGAAAATTGTAGAAATTGTTCATTTAAAATTCCCATTATATTCTTATGGAGAATGTTGTAACGTGTGGCTTTTTTTACAGATATATTTTGATCAAACTTGGCGGATTTTTACTATGCGAAAGTAATGTTTATCTTTTTGCGATTTTGTCGACGTAAACAAACAACTATGTGTTATTGTTTTATCAACTGTTTTAACTTTCAACGACTAAAGTAAACAACAACTTTAAATTTAAGGTACAACTTAAACAATTCTATGGGCTTTGTAAGATGAAAACAATATTTTTTGTGGTGTAGCGAAAAGTAACGTTCAAAACACTAGTAAAATTTGGTCTATACATATTCACGATAGTTTAAAACATATTATTCTACTCTTGTTATTAAATATACTATTGTGACACTTATAATACGTAACTAGCATAGACGAAGTAATACAATTTTATATAACCACATCCATGTTGCTAGTCTTAAAAATAATGTGTTTAGTCGTATAAGGTTTCAATTTCAACAAAGGAAATAGATTGAACATATGTTATCAGTAGACCCTTGATAGCATTGGAGTACATTTATTGCTGCTCCATACAATGACTGTTCGGGGGGGGGGGGGGGGGGGATTTCCGTTCCGCGTCGAGAAACATCCTTATCTATGATTCTCTATCTATGATCTTCTTATCTATGATGTATTGTTAAAATTTGGTTTTATTGCAATTACATTGTGAATATAAAAATGTCATGTTATTTGGGAAGTCATGCTATTGAGGGCCGTGGTATTGACCAACTATGCTGTCAATTTAGCCATAGTTTATGTATACTATTTGTAACAAATATCTTCAAACTAATACCATTGTGATGTTAAATTATGTGTTGAAAAAAATACTACACATGGAATCCACAATCAATTTATTAGGGTTTATGTTCACAGAGAGATTTAATATTAACCCATTGTACATTATTACAAAACTACATAGTCAAATAATATTTCCTTGTAAAAGCTCATACATATCTGTGTGTGTGTGTAGTTCTAGTGTTTTGCCTGTTGATTGAAATAGTATTTATATTTGTTCCTTATAACTGTAGCTTCTTTGCTCGGGTTTCTCGAAACTGGTTGCACACGTCGCAGATCTTCGGTAACCTCTCCCCTTACGTAGGAAATGTAGTCGTAATCATTTGATCCATCCTTGTCTCTAACGATGTTGTGAAGAACACATGCAGTATGTACTAGTACACTGACTTTCCGTATGCTGGGTATTTCAAGTGCAGTACCTAAAAATCGCCATTTAGCGCGAAGAATCCCAAACGCACATTCAATTGTTTTTCGAGCACACGAAAGGTAAGAGTTGAAGTTTTCCTTATCTGGCGTGAGATTTTTTGCAGGGAAAGGTCTCATTAGATACGGTTTTAGAGGAAAAGCCTCATCTCCTATCAATACAGGTGGAACGCTGATGGTTGTACCAGGAAGTATTATGTTTGGTGGCATGTTCAACTGCTTCGCCTCCAATCTACGATACAATTCAGTTGCCATAAAGATCCCCCCATCACTCTGTTTTCCCAAGGCACCAACATCAATCACTACAAACTTCTTATCTGCATCAGCAACACCCATTAGGACGATTGAGTGATACTTGAGATAGTTGAAACATACGGATCCAGCATGAGGAGGACATTTTAGTTCGCAGTGTCTTCCATCTATTGCTCCAATACAGTTTGGAAATTTCCACAGTTCTGAGTACCTTTTTGCCACATTCCTTAGACTGTTTTCGGTGGGTTCTGGAATATATTCATCTCCAAACTCTTGAATTATGGCCTCACATGTACTGTAAATGATCCGGCTAACTGTTGTCCTTCCGAGTCGAAATTCAAACGCTAGATGCCTAAAACTTGCACCAGTTGCCAGAAACCTGTAAATAAACATAATTTTTAATTGGATGGATATTATTTTTATTAAATAATGCAAACAATTTTTTTTTAATAACGACCGTACTCACACTATAATACGAAAAACTGTCGTGCTCGCACGGTAAAACGCCACTTACCGGGCTAGTACATAATATACTATTACATCATACTACATAGAAAAAATTTTACATTTTAAACTCATAAAACAATTTATTTAGAACATCAAAAAAATTATAATATTTTTTCATTTTAGAAAATAAAATGGATTGTTGCAATTCGCTGTTTATTTCATCAGATGACTAAGAGCACGGTAACAGTACATTACGTTACTTTTCAGTGTGTAGGCAAGGCAAAGGGCAACTTTCCAGCCTATCAATACGGATGGAAAAGTACCTGTTTCTGTGTAGTATAATGCAAACAGAATTCTTAATCTGGGGAAAGTTCTTCTACAATTTATACTGTCAAATACAATCATGCAACTGATTACCTTTCTTCTTTACAGGCCAGGAAGCCAAAAAGAAATGGAAGAATTTGAAAGATAAATATAGAAAACTAGTGCAGAAACCTCCTCCAAAATCAGGATCAGCCGGTGTTCAACAAAAGAATAAATGGCGGTTCCTTGACCTAATGCAATTCACAAAGGACACTATTATGCCCGGACAGACATTTGGAAACCTATCTACCACTGCTGATACACCGAATAGCCCCGACGCACACGATTCTGTTTTGGAAAATACCATTAACGTTGATAGTGAGGAAGAGGAAGAAATTGTGGCCAACCCCCTGAACATTCCAGTTGCTAACCTTGCTACAAATCAGACCACTAATAAAAGGTGTTTTGGTGCTAGACCTCATCGTTCGAAATTGGCCATGTCATCTAAAAACGAACTTGAAAAGGAAATGGTTCAAATAGAACAACAGAAACTAAACGCCATTTTGAACATTCAGAAGAACGCCAAAAAGGAAGAAGAAGGAGGCGACTATCACTTTTTAATGAGCTTGCTGCCCTACATGAAAAGTATGGATCCCCTCTTGAAACTTGAGCTGAGGAGTAAAATTCAAACAGAGGTAATGAACAGTTACAGGATTCACCAACAGATGGCAGCTCCTCAACTTGCACATTTTGATCAGCATCAAATGAGCAGACTCAACTCGCCTTACCCACCGTCAAGCAGCCTAGTTTCGCCGTCAATGGAATCCTCTAGTTCATCGACCCAGTATCAAAGACAAGAGTTAGTAGAAGAGGACTTTGGTACAAACACTCTCATTAATGCTTTTTCCACTAACTTTAACAGTTATCAAAAACAGTAACATGTTTTCAGTTTGTATTCAGTGCAGACTTTATTTACGAGAAGGAATCTACTTTTTTATGACTTTCAATTTAACTATTGTAATTAACAAATACCAGCAAACGTGGTATAGATTCTTTTATTTTTCCCCACATTGTTTACAGTAAGACATGTTTTTAGTTTGTATTCATTGCAGACTTTATTTACGAGAAGGAATCTACTTTTTTATGACTTTCAATGTAACTATTGTAATTAACAAATACCAGCAAACGTGGTATAGATTCTTTTATTTTTTCCCACATTGTTTACAGTAAGACATGTTTTTAGTTTGTATTCATTGCAGACTTTATTTACGAGAAGGAACCTACTTTTTGTTTATGATTTTCAATTTAACTATTGTAATTAATAAATACCAGCAATTGTGGTTTGGATTATTTCATTTTTCCTACATTTTAACAGTAAATAAGGTTAGATGCATTATGTCTTACATTTAATTTGCAATCATCACATACAGTACTACATAATTTAATAGGTATTCTTTGAAGTTAGCGGATTATAAACACAATATCTTACCGTAAAGTAACGATAAGTCGTTCTTCTGGCTTCACTTGGTGTTGCAGGCCTATCCTCTTCTTCTCAATCCTTCGTATCAATCTGTTCAATATGTAGTCAAAGGTAGCGATAGACATCCTCGTGTATTCAAAGAACCTATCTCCATCTTCCCTAAGCTGCCGAATTAAATGGTGGTATTCCCCAAACACTCCTCTCCTCTTGTTGATCGGATGTACCCCCCATCGTCTTCGACGTCTCTGACTTCTAAAAACGAAGTTTTTCTTTAATAGAGAATTTTCAGATAACAACAAAAGCTGCAATACGTCTGGGTCTGCACAGTTTGCCATCTTTGACTAAACTGACTCCTATCGGAGAAATTTATATGAGCGGCAACAAAAGTGCCGCTTGTATCGTAGCCACCACCGCCGCTCAGGTGCCGCTCAGGTTGCCGCTCACCGCTCGCCGCTCGCCGCTCGCCGCTCGTATCGTACCCGAGGCCTTAATTCTTTATGCTATACGAGGTCACATAATAATCTTTAAATTTATCTATAACTGAGTAAAACTTTTTTAAGATTTTAACGTATGATAGTATCAAATTTATACTTATAATTTAAAATTTTGTAATCTGTCACTAATTACTATGGATATCAATGTTGTAAAATATTACTTAATGGCTTTGAGAATAACATGGACATTTCGAACTCCAGTATAAACAGGCTATGGGGATTTAAATTAACCCAGTCCATCAATTAACCAATTCTTTGGTCGAAAACCGAACCAAAAATATCGAGTGTAAAGACTTCTGTATTTTCACCCCACGCTGTAAATAAAACATGTGATTGGAATTTCTTCCATTAGTTTTGATTTTCTGTTTATATTTCGTCACCAGCATGGCAACCGATAAGGCCTATGTTATTTCTTTTTAATTTTAAATTTATTTTTTGTGCTTATTTTTGAGCTTATTTTAATTTATAAAGGGATTCTGTACACCTACAGGAAAATATCTTTCTAACAGTATACGTAGATCTTCCCTACGGGCAGATGCACACGAGCTGAGAAAAAAGGTTTAACAGAAACATGCTTGCCTGACATGAATGCAGGGTGGATGTAGAAAGATGATCTGTGTATCTTTGTTACTGACCAATACTAACCAAGATCAGCTGTTTTATTAGCCAGGATAAATTATTTACCTACGACCGTTTTTTAAAGTAGCCATTTCAGTCCAGCTCTTAGAATTGAAAAGTTTCACTTTACAGCTGTTTACTTTCATATCCGCATAGTTTCATTTCATATCCGCATAGTTTTCTCATATCCACACAGGTAACGGACCAATGAGGTTCAAGTATTGAGAGAAAAGAATTAAAATTGTAATGCTTCGAACGTCAACTAATCAGCTGATCAGCTGATCAGTTGACCAATTTAATTGTTGATCCGACTTGTTCATGTTGATACTCGCGTATTCTTAATTAAGTTGGTGGAAGTCCAAAAATAAATGAAATATTTGCCGAATTGTACCTGATACAATATTATTTATGGTAAGAATGCTGCTAGCAATGTAATATTTAACAAAGTTTAACAAACACGTAATTACAGGAAATCAGCTGATTATACAACAAGTCGTTGCATCACTTTCAGTGGCAATGACAATACACGAAAACATAACCTCTCTAAAAAGTTATCAGTAGTGATTGTTAGTAATTAAATCCAGATTGATAGTAATTAAAAAACGGTCGTAGGTAAAGTAGTGTACGCAACTCGCGTTAATAGTCTTTACGACACTCGTAGAAGTTTTTAAGGCACTCGCCAAGGCTCGTGCCTTAAATTTTCTACTCGTGTCGTAAAGACTCACTTAACGCAATCGTTCCGTAAACTACTATTTTAAGCGCAATGATCAGGGTCAGCTGGGTGCAGTTACAAGTCATGAAAAACCTACTGATTTGTTCAGGATCATTCCAGCAACCTTTTAATTGTTTAAGCTCTCAGCTAATCAGCTATCAAGCATCTTAGATGTTCTTTTGCACTTTTACTTGCTTCATAGTTTATGGTTTTCACTTCGAATTTTTCAGTAAAACTTAAGTCAAGTATCGCATTCACCAGAAATTCCTTACAAATTTTAATTACTGTTTTTTACTTGAATGTTCCTATCTGCTTACTGGTGGTTGAAGTATCATACAATTTAAATTACATCAAGTGTAAACTCAATGGTATAAATGTTTACAGCTCTACAGCTCTGATATGTTTTTAAATTTTCCAGTGAGGTGGGGGGAAGAACTTTGTATCGTCTGTTGGTGAGAGATGCCGGGGGTGAAACTGAGACTGTACTGCTGAATGAGACTGTACCTTCATGGGTAGTGGACATCATAGTGGAGAAGAACATGCCAAAGTTCAACAAAATACCTTTCTATCTCATACCATTGCCTTCTGCTGGAGCCAAGAATTCCAAGAGGTATGTTAATTATTTGTTAAACCGCAAATTTTCAGTAGTTATCGTACTTTGCTTTGTTGTATCTTTAAACACAATCTCTGCTCAAATAAAGTTGTGTCACTGTCAGCTTCTATATTCTATTTTAGTTAACAAAATTGTGAAGCCATAGAAAAGCCATAGAATCTGATTGAGTTCTATTTTGATTTTCATATTTGTATAGCATAATATTATGATTACATGCTATAAAAGTATATTTTTTACCTAGGGCCGAAAATGCCAGCTTGAGATAGTTTTTAAGTTCGAGGCGAAGTCGAACGACGAAGGTCGAGAAACTTAAAACGATCGAGAGCTGCAAAACCATTTCGGTCCGTGGTACGAACGCTATTTTTTACCACACTATACCCTATTACCACTATTCACCACAATAATAATGCACACTGATAGTTGACACAGCTACAACTTAAAGGTTATGCAAAGAAATAATTTGAAGAATCAGCAAAAATAATAATAAATAGTTGCTAGGCATGGTGATAATAAAACAATTCTATTGTATTCTATTCTATTCTGTATGTTCAAGAATAAAGTATTCTGATTCTGATTCTGATTGCAATGCTATGGATACTGATTGTGTAGGATACCTATTTAATATGCATTCATGTTTTAAGTAAGTAAGCGGGCAGCTGATTTTGCGGCCCTAGGGATGTAAAAACCTGCTCGGTCCCCAAATAATGACGATGACAGCTGGCATGGCCAGCAAAACATAACTTTCAGCCACCAATTAACGTATGTAAAATAGCTAAAAACATCATAGTGTAGTGAAAAATTATTTACATTAATACTTTTTTTCTTTCTTTTAATACTTTCTTATTAAATGGCGACCACCATACAAAGTAGGTATTTTAAGCCAAGTATGAATGGAGATGAGTGTAGGATGAGTGGCGCGATCTTGTAGTCTTGTTAGTGACTAAGGCTGACACTCCTTAGACACAGCTGTTAATTAATAGCCCATACAGCTAATGGTAACTAAGGGACCTACAGTTTATAGTGAAATCCTAACCACATTTTTGCCTTGGTATATACGAATTGGTCTAATTATCAGGATAGAACTGCGGATAGTCGTAGTACTCACTCCTGCGGACGTTAATCCACACCAGGGAGTATCGCATCCACAGTGCATGCCTATAAATATCCACAGTTCGTGACCTCCTAGTAGCTGGATTACAGGACGACACCACCCGTGCCAGTCAACATTGAACATATATTAGCAGCCAACTGGTTAAAGTAAAGGTCTTTTTATGGAAAATATTCTTAGGTTAAGGCAGTACCCTACGATTTATATGCATGACATAAAAATTCAAACTTAACTGTCTTTGTTCAATTTTATGTCAATACCTATGCCAGGAGAATTTTGTGCAAAAGTGAATCAAACCCTTTTTAAAGAAATGTATTTTAGCTCAAATTACAATTTTTTTTGGGAATGCCGAAAATTAAATTTGTTACCACCACAGTTTGATATGCTGACCATATCCATCCAATGTTCAGAATTTATTTTTATTTTGTTAACCCTTGAGCTGGCATGCGCCCGATATCGGGTGATGTATGCTGCGGCCGAAATGGCATTGTCACGGAAGTTGCCGATTTTTGCACAAAAATGAAACAAATTTCACTTAATATAGTATTTATTCGGTTTAGAAATTAATAATCTGTCGATTGATATGCATTTCAACTATTTGTCCGCCTTTGGGAAAACTTAAAACTCAATGAAAATAACGCATCAGCTGACAACATTGTCATGATGACGCAGTCGCTTATTACCGACGTCTGTTGATGCTTATTTCGTATTGTGTTTGGTTAGTTTCGGTGTTTTGGCGTTATACTTTAAGTTTTATTTTTTATTGAAATCTGAGTTGAAATGAATTGAATTGAAATGGATTCTGTAGGGATGTAATATAACTTGAGTATTATATAAGTTATTTCTTGTATGAAGTTGGACATGAATGTTTTGCTTTGAGTATTCGTGTAGGTTGTACAACTAATATGTAGGCTATATGGTAATAAAAACTGTTATATGTATTTTTTTTTAAGGAAAACAAGGTACATATATTATATATCGTTCTTTTCCTCATGAAATTGTGCACAATTTGTATATTTTGAAACATTATTTTGAGGTCATTGATTTGTGTTATAATATGGAATATAAATGCATATAAATATACAAATTTCCGCTTAGTAAATACCATATACAATTTTTTTTTGTAAATTAAAATTTCACATCTAAAATTTATATCATATTATTCCTTGTTTTTTACTGAAATAAGCATATATTGATATGATATATTTACAAACTTATTTACTGTATAAAAAAGTGTTATAAAAAATGTTGCGCGACCCATCAAAAAACCCTTGCCACCACAGCATAAAAAGACCATCAGCTCAAGGGTTAAGACATAAGTTCGAAGCTAATGTGAAATCCAAAACAACACCCGCAGTCTTGGAGGAAACAAAAACATTTACCTAGGTCAAAGAGACAAAATCATTGAGCGCGTTCTGGGAACATGTATCGGTGCAAAAAATGTGTTGTTCTGGGAGACCGGTGAGTTTCCCTAGCAGACAGCTATTTCCTCTTTTTCCTCCACCGGTGCAAGATTTATGCACCGGAGAAATTGTACGGTGCATAATACACCGGCAGCCTCTGATTGGTCAGTTTCTTTGACAACAGCTTGTAGCTACGGCAAGATGGCAGGTCCACCGAATAATGTTCAGTTCATTAGTTTTACAGTATAGGTTATGTTATGTTGCGTAATGAGTGAACCATTTGTTCAATGAGGGGGTTATATTACGTAATAAATAATAAATAATAATTTTTAAATAATTTATTCCGTGAGGGCAAGTCTGTTTGTTTGATTTAAATATTATTAAGCAAATAGTAGGTGAATGTGTGAATTATAATCCGATGTGTGCCGTAAACCGGTGACTAACCGTTCTGGGATACCAAGACTCTTGCCCCGGTGAGTAAGTCACCGGTTAATCTGCACCGGTGCACCGGTACATGTTCCCAGAACGCGCCCATTGTCTTCAGCTCGCAAAAAAGGTTTGGCACAGTCACTGCGATATTGTAAAAATCTTCTGAGGTTACACGGAATATTCGTGAATATGGCCAAAGTTGTGAAGATCTTCTGCAGTCAAGGTGAAATCGAAAAAAAAACATCTTTTGCAGTCATGACAAAACCATGAAGAATCAAGTCACGCGGTCGGAAAGACATCTCCCGCAGTTGCGGCAAAACGGTGATCATCATCCGCAATAGTGATGGTAATTTATTATAATTATAGGTTTCGATCACAGTCAAATTAGAATAGTAGGACTCCACAATGTAGTCAATTTATTATGTGATAAACAACCTCGCAGTGTTTTTAAACATTGGATACCTTGTTACAGAGACAGACTGATAGCAAACGACTTCATACAGATGCACAAGGTGGCCGAGCATGTGTATGAGAAGGTGCTTGGATCAGACTCAGGCTCCGTGGCAGTGTCCCCTGGAATGGAGGACCAGGACAACGGATCTTTGGCCGAGGAGAAAGTGGAATTGCTGTGCAATGATCAGGTGTGAGAATGTTAAATAAATTATTGTATTCAATCAGTATCAGTCCTCTTAACTATTTTTTACACTCAATTTTCAGCTAGGAGAGATTTTGGTCAGAGCTTTACACCATATTTCTATCGCTTTGTATTCCATCGTTATAAAAATTCATAAACATTTTTTCAGGTATTGGATCCTAACATGGACTTGAGGACGGTTCGACAGTTCATCTGGAAAACCTCAGCTGATCTGGTTCTACACTTTAAGCCAATCAAGGGCCTGTCAACAATCTCTCAAAGAACTTGATAAGTGTTACATTCCAATGAATAATTTTATATCTGTACAATTTATTTTTTTAAATATTATTTATGGTGTTTTAAATGCCCTGTACATAGTTCAGTATTCGTATTTTGTGATACTTTTGTTATTTATATAACTTATACATTTAATTTTAAAATTAACTGTTTATCTAAGCATAGTTGAATATTGTAAGGTTGATATTGCTGTTATTTAATGAAGTCATTAGAAATAAATATGGTGACATTGGTAGACTACCTACTAGTTGATCCACGACATAATGAAGTGTTTAATTTTTATTGAATTGTTATAGCGAATTTCCCATATAGAGAATAAGCTATTACCGTAGGTCTCATAGTAAGACCTAGACCCCGCCAGGACCGCTTTGCTTTTTCGTTTTGATGTCTACAGAGGCCAAAAACCCCATCCGTTCATATAAATATTTGACCATTTGCATGATAACTTTAGCAAAATCATATACAATTTTGAACAAATTTGGTACAAACGTTGTTGCATACTAGTTCACCACTTTTCCTTATTTTTATTCCAAATTGATTTCAATCTAATATATAAAATTCTCGTGTCACAGTGTTTGTCTGCAAACTCCTCCGGAACGACTTCACCGATCGTTATGAAATTTGGTGTGTAAATTCTGTAGGTATGCGAATCGGACGTAAACTATTTCCCGTTTCGAAATTCTTAAAAGGGCTCCGCCCCAGTGGCTCTGGAGTTTCCCATGTTAACCTTATGAGAAATGGAATTAATGAATCTTAACAGCTGTTTCAATTAAACAAGTTGGTTCTGTTCTATGATGTTCAATAGCATTAAAGTTACAAGGATTACCAACAGGGTGCAGCACTATTATTTCTTTTACATTTATGACAACAGCTAATTTGCAACCAAAAGGTGAGTGAGCGTAGCGAACGAACTTCAACCTGGAGGCGAGTGAGCGTAGCGAACGAGCTAACCTGGAGGCGAGTTAGCGTAGCGAACGAGCTCCAACCTAAAGGCAAGTGAGCGCAGCGAACGAGCTCCAACCCAAAGGTGAGTGAGCGTAGCGAACGAACTTCAACCAGGACGTGATTGAGCGATGCGAACGAGATCATCTTGAAAATTAAACGTAACGGTACTTTCTTTCCATCGGTCTGTCTTAGGGGAAACCTATAACTTAGGCGATACGAAGTTCGCCGGGTCAGCTAGTATATTTATAATTTTATTTCCTCTTAGTTCTAATTACAATTTCCTATCTTACTTTCCCATCCTAATTTCTTGACAGCTGAAAGTTATTTAATTTAATGTTTTTATATATCATACTTTTGATTATTATAAAAAAAAACATTGTGTTTCTATCTTCAATACAATCACCACGAATAATTTTATTCTCAATTTTATTTTAAAACCCACATACAATTTTTCATGGGATTCAAGCAAAATATTATTCATTTTACCTTTAAACTACATTATACAATCCGTATTATGAACATTGTTAAATTGTACATGAAGGAGAAGACATTTTTATTGTGATACTTTTAATCATCAAGACAATGAATGAACTTGAACTTAAATTACTCAAGAAGCTATGAATCCTTACATACACAAAACATGAACAAGAAAACATGAAACAAAAATTGGTCAATTATAGCATACCTAAGTACTCCTTTTTAACATGGTGTTATTTAAATAGGAAATAAATCTGATAAATTTAAGATAATTTTTTGGTGTTGTTATTTAGTCTGCATTTTTTCTGCAGCGGCAGTATTTTACTTGCCTGTCAATCCATGCTGCTAGGAACACGCTTTAAGAAATGTCAGAAGTTTATTGTTTTAAGAATTTTCGAGATCAAAAATTAATTTTGTTAGTACATTCCAGTAGTATATTCTAATTTAACGTGACCTTAACTAGCAGTGTTTCAATGTAGATATAATTTTTAAAAATGATTAATGTCTTACTGTATTTTGTAGTAAACATTTTGAAAATTTAGCTTGCTGTTGCTTGTTGTATTAGCGAATTTCCCTATAGGGAAGTAGCTATTACCGTAGGTGGCATGGTAAGACCTAGGCCCGGGACCGATTTACTTTTCCATTTTGATGTCCCCAGAGGCCAAAAACACCATTCGTTCAAATTTGTATATATGTGTATATATATATAGATTTATATATATATGTGTCCGTGAACGATAACTTGAGTAATTTTTGTCCGATTTTGATGAAATTTGGTTTAAAGGTATAAAGCGCGATAAACTTGAATGAGTTCGCAAACCAGCATGATCGGACTATGGGAACGGGGGTTTATGGGGGGTTTTGGGGGGTAAAAATAGTTTTTTCCCATTTTGACCCTATAAACACAAAATTTCACAATTTCTTTCTAAACCATTTTGTAGAGCTTAAAAAACAAATAATTTAGTATATTGAAGCGTTGTTATGCGCCTAATGGTTACGGAGAAAATTCAAAAATATTGTAATTTTAAAATTCCCATGTTATTCTTATGGAGAATAAGTCAACTGTTGTAGTTTGCTTGTTTATGAACATATTTTGATCAAATTTGGAAAATACATTAATTTCTTACTAAACTACAGTAGGCCTACCTATTAACATTTTACATAAAAAAAATACTTTTTACCCTCCCTGTTGCAGCAAACCTAAGTTTTACTCGTTAAACTAATTCCTTTTAAATAGGGAATAAATGTGATATTTTTAAGGAGACATTTTAGTGTAAATCCAATCAGGCAAATGGAAATTCGCTAAGTCTGCAGGTTTGCTGCGGCGGGGGTATTTTTATTATTTTGAAACAATTTTTAGTTAAGGGTTAGAAGATGTATTTTGGTGAATTACTCTACAAGAAACATGAAAGGAAATGAATATACAGTTTTATGCTAGTATCATAAATGCATCAATAATCAATTGATTTAGAAGATTTTCATAAAATTAAATCTTCTATTAGACTGGCATGGAATGAAAGAATTGTGTAAAAACCTTAATATATGCAGCAGGGCTTTATTTAATATTTACATTATTTTCTTGTTATTTCTATTTTTTTAAAGTTATTTTTGTTTCTGCACTATGATTATGAATTTTGAATATAATGTAATTGGATCCCTGTATGAATGACTCTTTTAAGATAAGAATTGTACATTTGTGAATTATGTTGATGTTAATAAATTTATTGGATATTGAATAAGTCTAATTATTCATACATTTTTGTTGTATTATAATAGTATTACAACAATTTTTAAATACTCTTACCTAATACTACCAGTTACTTGGGATCACGATGTAAAGTGCAGGTCTGATATTTGAATTAGCTTGGTCGTGAGCTTAGTGGAGACCTTATTTCACGTATAATCCTTGTATATTAATCTACAAGGCCGGAAAGTATGTGTTTACAGTACAAGTAGGATAGTTTCCATGCGAGGCTTGTGTAACGGTGGGTCCTCTACTTGAGGTACCCACTGTTACTTTGAGTAACGTAGCTCAGGAATGAAACCCAGCACTCGCTTACAAAACCCAACTTTATTAATACTCAAAACAACACAAAGATAAACTAACAATCAAAAAGGTATAGTAGACTAGAACTGTATAAATCATTTCTTAGAAACTGAAACCCCAATTTGGAAAAGACTCTAAACCCCAATTTGGAAAACCCTTAACATTGCCTTACCTGGACCCAAGGCCAAAGAGCCTTGGGCTCCAGTTCCCCAGCAGGACCTCGTCCTCTGGTGCACCACACAAACACTACCCACCAAAACTGACCCCTTGATCAAGTGCATGCACTGGCCTACAAAACAAGTAACAGCCTTCTATAGGTCAGCACAACAAGTTATTGTTTAACAACACTACCAGCCTACTCACACAACATTAACATTGCCAAACACTTCCTCTTTACAATATTTGACCCTCCTATTACACTTGTCGAGCGAGGAATTGCATGTGAATCGAAGTTATTTGAAGTTATAAAACACAGTAGGCCTACAGTATTTGCATTCTTGTGGTGGGCTGCCTCTACACATGGGGGAGGCAGCTTTGTTTAAAACCTCACAAAATAAAACGGTAAATTTACCTGCCTTACTTTACTGGTATTTTTAAACAATAATTTTCTGCCCTAAAAAGAGTGCAGAAACCACCTGCTTACTGTGTAGTGTGATGAAATTTGTTAAAGTTGAGTAGGTCCATACTGCTGAACTTGATGGTTTTTGGGTTGAGATGAGGGCAATGTTAATTGTAACTACTGATGTTTGTTGACATTAGTATTTGTATTCATATGTATCTGTATTGTATTGGATGAAGAAGGAAGGTAATGAAGGGAGAATTTTAATTGAGGATTTGATGTCTTCTTCGATATGAAATGAAATGAAATGAAATGATTTATTGTCGTTAAAACTATGTACAAAGTTCATGACAATCGTCAAAATAAAAACAAAACAATCAAGATGGCTCTGGCAACTAAAATATCTAAAACTCTAAACCAAAGTACTCTTCATGTTTATACAGGCAAGCCTGGGTTAGAGTAGTTTTTAAAACATGTTTGAATTTTAAAACACACAGGTTTTTGATGGATGCAGGCAAGAAATTGTACATAAATATTACGTCATGTACAATCAATGGCTAGCTTCACTATTACTCTACAAGTGCATAAAATCAAAGACTTTGAATAGTGCAAGCAGTGCCAGATTTACTACTAGGCTGCAGCATGGCCGCAAGCAAAAGGGGCCACAGGGTTTTGTACAAATACAATGTTTTTAAACAAAAATTCAATTGTAATGTATTAAATAACGCGGATGACGAGAATTATGCAACCCAAAGCATTTTTAAAGAACGATGCCGCCGAGAACGAGGGTGATAATGTTGATGTCCCCGTAACTGCAGGAGATGTTCTCGATTTATCTGTCGTCGCAAATGATGATTTCCTCCTGATCCTAGGAAATGTTAATTAATTTGCTGCTATTGTGGGTGACGATCATGATGTCCTCGAGATCGCAGGTGATGTTCACAACTTCTCCGTGAGAGCGAAGTGATATTCACGATTCAGGGGCCATTGCGAAAAGTTCCCACCTAAAGGGCAGGGGCCGCTTGAGTTAAATTGGCCTAGGGCCACAGGTACCTAAAATTCGGCACATAGTGCAAATAGTTAAACATATATTGTTTTGTCTTAAAACTTAAGACCCGTTTTGTGTTTATCTCATCCAATGCAATATTTTTAAAGGGATTGGTCTAAATATCTTGCCTTGTTATCTGATGTACTCCTTTTATTGTTAGATAGAATCATTAATTTATAGGTCAATAAATACATACAGTAAATGGCATACAGGCCCAGAACCAGAATCCAGTATAAACCATACGACAAAGTATAAATATGCAGCAACTAGCAGTACAACAGTACAAGGAAGCCAACTTTGTCGGGTGACTGTAGGAAATAGTTATTTGTGTAACTAGTGGTGAAAGTGGCACTTTGCTGCACACGAGAGCAATGTTTACGCACGAGCCGCAGGCGAGTGTGGAATGATCTCGAGTGCAGCAAAGGCCTTTTTCACTCGTGTTACACATTATATTTTTCCTACAGTCACTATAAAGTATTAAAAGTATATAAATAATTAGTCTTTCAAACACCATACAACACGTTTTTAGGTTCAGCTGGCAACACAAATGGTGCCCTAGAGAAAGTAGTACCCGCGGTCCGTATCACTCC